TCCGTTAAAAGATATGCCTCAGATTTGTAACCTCTGCTTTTTCCGGTTATAAATTTCTTGTGTTAGGGCAGTGCTAGCACATAATACATAATTTGAAAGGTCGATATCCAGTGAAAACACCTTTTTTCTCAACCCATCCTGCAGCCACCCAGCTCCTCTCCCTAGAAGCAACCACTGTTTTGTTTTGTTTTTTGAGTTGGAGTCTCACTCTGTCGCCCAGACTGGAGTGCAGTGGCCCGCTCCCGGGCACCGCAGCCTCGACCTGCTGGGCTCCGGCGATCCTTCCGCCTCAGCCTTCCGAGGAGCCGGAACTACAGGCGCGCGCTACCACGCCCAGCTAGTTTTTGATTTATTGTAGAGAGGAGGTCCCGCCAAGTTGCCCAGGCGAGTCTCGAACCCGTGGGCTCAGGCAGTCCACTCACCTCGGCCTCCCAAGGCGCGAGATTACAGGCTGAGCCACCGAGCCCGGCTCAACTACTGTTTCTTATGTCTCCTTCCAGATATAGTTTATAGGTTCATAAGCAACTATGAATAATATTCATTTTTCACAGTTTATGCTGATGCTAGCATACCCTTCCTCATATTCTGTTTTCCCTTAACAAAATATTTTCTTTTTTTTTTTTGAGTGGGAGTCTCACTCTGTCGCCCAGACTGGAGTGCAGCGGCCGCTCCCGGCCACCGCAGCCTCGGCCTGCTGGGCTCCGGCGATCCTTCCGCCTCAGTCTTCCGGGTAGCTGGAACTACAGGCGTGTGCTACCACGCCCGGCTAATTTTTGATTTTTACTGTAGAGACGAGGTCTCGCCAAGTTGCCCAGGTGAGCCTCGAACCCGTGGGCTCAGGCATTCCTCTCGCCTCGGCCTCCCAAAGTGCTGGGATTACAGGCTGGGCCACTGAGCCCAGCCAACAAAATATTTTCAAGAGAACCCTGAGGACCTCTTTCCATGGGTACATGCTGTCTTGTCATACAGATGCATTGTTAACTCTATCACCGACTCATCTGCTGTAGAGTACCTTGGAGTTATTTGAAGTTCTGTGCTCCCAGGTATCATAAGTCAATTTTCTAAGTCGAAGCCTGTGTTAGACAAATTTGTTATAACAGCGATGCCACATGACTTGGTGTCATGTGAATTTTTGGGAATTCTAGTTGCTAGACAGGGTGCTTTCTCCTTATCACTTCCCTCATTTGGGATCACCCAGTAACTAACACTGCTTCAAGCCTCACCCTCTTATCAGAGTTTCTACTTAGAAATCGGAGGCCCTTAGAAAGGATGCAGGTTGTCCCAGACTTCTAGGTCTTCTGCATTCCAGTCATTTTCCCTCTCGACTCTTGTAGGCCAGGGGCCATCTCCTTCCCCACAGCTCTGCCTCTTGGGAAGATCTTCCCTCCCTACTGTCTTTTTGCATCACCTGGTAGTGGCTGGAATGCAGCTGCCATCTATTTTCAGTTCATACCCAAATCCCAAACTGACCATACTACAAACCAAACTCAGGCCTGTTCCTCCTCCTCCAGCTGGCTGTATGTTTTTGATTTAATATTTTTTTTGAGGTGGGCGGCGGGCATTTTCAGAGATTTCCATTTGGCCTTCCTCACTGTATTGCTCTTACCCCAAGCCCTGGGCTACTTCAACATTAATAGATCAGTATGGTGAGGAAGCCTCAACAAAGGAAACAGACGGAGTGTTTCAAAGAGAAGAGAGTAGTCAGCTGTGAAATTCAGCCATGTTGAGGTGTTCATATCCATTCATTGCCATTGGATATGCCACAGTTTATTCATTCTACTGTTGATGGACTTTTGGGGTATTTTCAGGTTTAGACTTTTTTGTTGTTGTTGTTGAGTTGGAGTCTCACTCTGTCACCCGACTGGAGTGCAGCGGCCACCGCAGCCTCGACCTGCTGGGCTCCGGCGATCCTTCCGCCTCAGCCTTCCGAGTAGCTGGAACTACAGGCGCGCGCTACCACGCCCGGCTCATTTTTTTTCTTATTTATTGTAGAGATGAGGTCTCGCCAAGTTGCCCAAGCGGGTCTGGAACCCGCGGGCTCAGGCAATCCCCTCACCTCGGCCTCCCAAAGCACGGGATTACAGTCTGAGCCACCGAGCCCGGCCAGGTTTAGACTTTTAAGAATAGTGTTGCTCTGAGAAGGGCAAACCACCACTTCCCTGGGATTTCTCCAAAAATGTAAAACCTCAATTTAATCATGATAAAACATCAAACCCAAACTGAGAGACATCTACAAAAAAAAACAGCTATGTACGCTTCAAAAATGTCAGGGTCACGGAAGGGAGACTAAATAAATGCAAAAACTGCGTGATTCTAGATTGGATTCTGGTCTGGGGGAGATATTGGGACAGTTGATGAAATTTGAATGTGAACTGAGGACCAGATGACAGTGTTGTATTAATGTTAAATTTTCCATTTTGAGCATGTTCTTGCTTTTTTTTTTTGAGTTGAAATCCCAGTCCGTTACCCAGGCTGGAGTGCAGTGGCACGGCCACCCCAGCGTTGACCTGCTGGGCTCCAAAGATCCTTCTGTCCTAGCCTTCCAAGTGGCCGGAACTACAGGCGTGGGCTACCATGCCCAGCTAATTTTTGATTTATTGCAGAGACGAGGTCCCACCAAGTTGCCCGGACTGGTCTCAAACTCACAGGCTTAGGCAATCCACTTGCCTCGGCCTCCCAAAGTGCTGGGATTACAGACTGAGGAGACTGTTCTTGTTCTTAACACATGGAAGCATTTATGAGTAAAGGAGAGTGATGTCTTCAGATTACTCTCAGATGGGTCAAGAACTAAAATTTAAAGTATTTTTTGAAACAGTGCTATCCACGCTTTTGGTGCATGTGGCTACGTGTCTCTGTTGAGTGTTCTGGATGCCTGCCTGCAAGGATGAGAGTTCCAGTTCTCCACTCCATGACTCGCCTTCACATACTCTGGTTTTTTTTTGAGTTGGTATCTCACTCTGTCGCCCAGACTGGAGTGCAGCGGCCGCTCCCGGCTACCGCAGCCTCGACCTGCTGGGCTCCGGCGATCCTTCCGCCTCAGCCTTCCACGTAGCTGGAACGACAGGCGCGTGCTACCATGCCCGGCTGATTTTTTGATTTATTGTGGAGATGAGGTCTCGCCAAGTTGCCCAGGCGGGTCTCGAACCCACGGGCTCAGGCCATCCACTCACCTCTGCCTCCCAAGGCGCGGGATGACAGGCTGAGCCACCGAGCCCGGCTGCCTTCACACACTCTTAATGCCATCTCCCCTCCCAAATGTTGTGTTTGAAAAATGTAAAACTTGCTGAAAAGATGAAATAACTTTATGGTACACCCATATAGCCATACTTCTTGGATTCTACAATTGACATGCCATGCTTGTCTTATCACATATCTACCCAAAAACTATCCTTTCATCTACCTTATTTCCTTGGAATTTCAAAACAAGATGCAGATAGCAGAGCACTTCACCCCTAAGAGCTCTCACTTTTTGTGAAAGTGATGGGCACTCTTTCATGTGCTTATCTGGTGAAGAGTCTATTCAAACCTTTTGTGTGTCTTTTTGTTGAGTTATTTGTCATCTTGTTATTGAGTTGTAAGAGTTCTTAATATGTTCTGGATACAAGTCTTTTGTCAGATATAAGTAGCATTTGTAGATTTTAACTCTCAGGCTGTGCCATACCTTTCTAGTTTCTCACGTATCTTCTGATGAGATGTTTTTAGTTTTGTTGGAGTCAGTTCACATTTGTGATTATTGCTACCTATGGTCTTTTTTGTTTGTTTGTTTTGCTTTTTTTGAGTTGGAGTCTCACTCCGTCACCCAGACTGGAGTGCAGCGGCCGCTCCCGGCCACCGCAGCCTCGACCTGCTGGGCTCCGGCGATCCTTCCGCCTCAGCCTTCCAACCTATGGTCTTATCTACTAAGCCTTTGCCTTTCTCAGTGGAGTTTCTTGATGAATGGACTTCTTAATTTTAAAACATTGGTGTTTTTGCTTTTCGTTTTATATTTAAAATCAAAGCTCAGACAAATATATATGCTATATATAAGATATTTTGCCTACTGCAAGGTTATGAAGATGCCCTGCTATGATTTCTCCTCAAAGCTTGGTTGTTTTACCTTCACATTTGGACCTACAATCCATCTGGAGTTGGGTTTTGTATATAGAATGAGGTTGGAGCCAAGATTCATGTGTTCATGTGCTGTGCTGATCTGAGCAGTCCAGCACCATTTGTTGTACAGACCACCTTTCCCCACTGCAGGGCTCTCTTTGTCATAGATCAGCTGCCCATATGTGTGTGGGTCTTGGTTTTGTACCTCTAGTCTGCTCAGTTTTGGCGGGTATCACAGCTGTCATCATGGGCCAGAGCTACAGGCTCTGCTTTGTAGCCTAAGAGATGATCTGTGAGGAACTGAGGCTGATCGGAATGATCACTGCTACCTGTCACTGGAGAGGAGCTCATTGTCCGGAAGAGAAGAGCCGTCCGAGCTCTCGTCTCCCCCTGCAGGTGTCCACTCCTTTGGCCTCCTCATCGTAAATTAACTTAGACCCGCCCTGCGTCTGTGCTGTGCTGTGTGCACATGTGTGTGTACCATATGGGCACACAACCCTCACCAGAACCTCAGGTGCTTTGGGAGTTGGAAGTTTTCTTTCTTTTTTAAAATATTTATTTATGTACTTATTTATTGTGGAGATGAGGGTCTTGCTATGTTGCCCAGGCTGGTCTCAAACTCCTGGCCTTAAGCAATCTTCCTGCCTCGGCCTCCCAAAGTGTTGGGATTACAGGCGTAAGCCACTACACCTGGCCAGAAGTTTTCAAACTGTCACATATCATGCGATACCCTGAGCATGATCCAGGGAGCCCACAGAAATCAAGCCCAGCAGTATTTCTACAGCAACCTGGATTCACATTGAATAGATGAGATGGGATGCCAGAATTCTGGATTTTAGAATCACGTTACGGGCTGCTCGCAAGCCTGTGCTCCTGATTTCATATCTTGCCCTGTTGTTTTGACTTGACAGGCCACATCGCACCAGTTGAATGCAGTGACTGAAGACATGTACACCAACGGGTCTGCTGCCCCAGGTAGCCCTGCCCAGGCCAAGGGGCAGGAGGTGCGGAAAGTACGACTCATACAGTTTGAGAAGGTCACAGAGGAGCCCATGGTAATGCCTTGTCATTGTGTCACCTGCCACTTACTTTCTAGCCTTGAGTCACTGGGGCTACACAAGCAAATGCAGGCTGTTCTAATTGAGGACTGTCTTGGGTAGACATGGAACTATTTTCCCTGAGAAATTGCCTTAAGTGGCTTTAAAGATCACCTCAGAAAGAGCTTAAAATAAAGCACATTGTGCCTTCACCTTTATTTCAGGGGATCACTCTGAAGCTGAATGAAAAACAGTCCTGTACGGTGGCCAGAATTCTTCATGGCGGCATGATTCATAGACAAGGTACTCTGTGGGTCCAAGGTCACGTTTTATTCCAGGCTTAATCATTTACTCCCTGTTCCGTGGCATGGGACATGAAGCTTATAATCCTCAAAACTGGTAGCATTTTTGTGAGTGTGCCAAGGGATTTTTTGTGGCCTAATAACTGAGTCTCTAGATGAGGTCTCACGATGAATTGTCCAGTGCCACTGTCTCATCCTTTGAGCCTTCCTTTACACTTATTTATACCAGTGTTTTTCTAGTTAGCTCATATTTGTATTTGAGTTTGAATATACTGCAGGGAAGAAAACAGACCATCTCCACCCTCCTGGAGTTAACAGTTTAATTGCGATAGCAGACATCAGACAGATAATTACAATGAACTGTGGTATTTCCTTCATGTTAAAATGCCATCAATTTTCAGATGCATCATTTAGTAAAACCTATTTTGCAGAGTGATGAGAGAACAGAGAAATCCATTGCAATACAGCATGTTTTTAGCAACTGATGATGGCCTATACTTGGAAACCTGGTTCATGCCCCGCTTGGACGTTTCCTAGTGTTGGGGTTGTGGCTACCCAAAAGAGGTGGTCTCCCTACCCCGTTAGCTCCTACTCTTTTCTGTTTACTTAAGACTTTTTTTGTATCCAAGGTGACGTGGGTATTGGTAATCGCTCTTCACATAGAATCTAAACATTGAATCCACTTCAGCTGGAGCCACAGGCACGCACCACCACGCCTAGCTACCTTTTTGATTTATTGTAGAGACAGGGTCTCGCCATGTTGCCCAGGCTGGCCTCGAACCCCTGGGCTCAGGCAATCCTCTCGCCTCGGCCTCCCAAAGTGCTGGGATAACAAACTTGAGCCACCTTGCCCGGCCATGTCATTCTTTTTAGTAGCCATTCTAGTTCCAGAATTTGCAGGGGAGATGCCTTTATTGTGCTGTTGGAGTCCTGAGGTCAAAAAGGTTGAGACAGTACTGTCAAGTGCTTGCCTTGACATCCCTTGGGGGATTCAAAAGGGCATTCCCATCTCTCACGGTGGGATGATTTCAACGTGGTGCATTTTACACAGCATATGTATTTTATGACATGCTCTAACTCCTGGTTCCTCTTCGGTTCTGTTGACAGGTCTGGCTTGAACCTTTATTTTTCCGTAGACTGACTTTTCCTTCCATGCAGGCTCTCTTCACGTGGGGGATGAGATCCTAGAAATCAACGGCACAAATGTGACCAATCATTCAGTAGATCAGCTGCAGAAGGCAATGGTAGGCATTTCTGTGGTGGATTCACGTCAGTTCAGTGTGCCTCGTTTTTCTGTCAAAGTATTTGTGTCCTTCTGAGGGGGCTTTTGTCACTGCTAATCTTTCTTCTCTGCAAGAAATGATAAATTTCTGCCTTCATTTAGTAAGATCCTAAAGCCAGGCAAATAACCCAAAGCATCAGTCTGGTGTAAAGGAAAGAACACAGGATGGGGAGTTAGAAGACCTGGTCTTTGTGGCACCTCAGAATCCCGGTTCTGCTGTATTTTTGCTTTGTGATTTTGAGCAGGCGAGCTAACTTCTGTTTCATCGTCAAGGGAGCTAGCGATCCCTTGCATTACCTCACAGACTTATCGTGAAGCGTGAACAGGACATTATAAGTGAAAAGTTGAGTGTGCTGTTTGGATTCAGCTGATATTTGCTGAGCACCTATTATGCGCCCGGCACTGTGCCTGGTGCTTGGGCTGGCTCTCCCGCTTGCCCCCCTGACTTTGCCCGGTGGCTCCATGACGCTAAGAATTGCATCAGTTGGGCTGCCCTGGGTTCAGCAACACATCAGAAGGTGGGGAGAGAGAGAGCAGGTTCTTTACAGCCCCATTCCTCCTCTGCCAGCTCAGCCTGCTGAAGGCCAGACCCCGGCTGTCAGTCCAGTGTCCCATGGGTAATGGCTTCTCCCGGTGGCAGATCCTGGGTCGTTCCGTATCCTCCCTTGCCGGATCCCTGGAGGATGTCCACACCTGTGTGAACAGTTCCTTCCCGAAACTCTCTTCAAACATCTTTTTGAATGTGCCACCTGTTTCCTCCCGGGATCCTGATGAATACAGTCATTTGTACCAGGATTCTGAGATTGGGCTGCTTATAGATGAGCACATGAAAGTAACCAGGTGATATGCTGGTCACCCGTGGCATACAGTGGCATGGTAGCCTTTGGGTGATACCTATGGTGTCATGGGATGGAGGGGAAATGGAGCACAAAGTACCTGAGGGAAGATCAGGTGACTGTGGCACTTGGTCATGATGATACGGTGACTGAAGATTGGGCCAGCAACAGAGAAGAAAGGGCAGTTGGAGGCCTGGACTGCCCACCTCAGGGCAAGGTTAGAAATCAGAAAGCCTCTGGGCAACATGAAGGGCATCCTTTACCTCCTGTGGCCACCAAGCACCACTGCAGTCTTCAGCTCCCCAGGGCCTTTCGGGTCAGGTCATGGCACTGAAGACTCGGGCCCTCGGTCGTGGAATGGACATTCGGGCAGTCCCTGATGAATGGAGAACTTTGAGCTGGTGAATCTCCACAGCACCCCCACCCCCAGCGAACAGATAGTCCCTGTCTGAAAACCTCTCAGCTACTTCGCCTTGGCCAGTAGCCTCCCAAGGGAGTGCTGATTCTCCACGGGACCAGGTCTTAGTCCCTCCACGTCTTCTGCAAGACTCAGATCCCCCAAGGAGCCCAGAAAGAGAAATATAAGCCTGAATCCAGTGAGACTGAGATCCAGGAACTCTCAGGAAAGGCTGTAGAGGGCTGGTTCTCAAAACTTGAGTGTGATAAGAATCATGGCCGGGCGCCCAAGCAAGAAGAGGAAAGGAAATAATGACACAGTCAGAAAGAGATTGAACGGAGCCTTGGCAAATGAACGTGAAAGGCAAAGGGGTTTCTCAAAGGTCGCTCTGAAGCACGTTACGGCTGTATGTGTTCGCATATTTATAAAGCAGCTAATAAAGAGAAAGAACGATGCATTTATTCAGTCCTCTTTTTTTTGAGTTGTGGTCTCGCTCTATCAGCCAGGCTGGAGTGCTGTGGCACAATCACAGCTTGCCACAGCCTCAACCTCCTGGGCTCAGGAGATCCTTCCACCTCAGCCTCCTGGGTAGCTGGAACTATAGATGTATGCCACTACATCCGGCTAATTTATTTTTGATTTTTTTGTAGAGACAAGGTCTCACTATGTTGCCCAGGCTGATCTCGACCTCCTGTGCTCAAGCAATCCTCACTCCTTGGCCTCCTAAAAGTGCTTGGATAGCCGGGCTCGGTGGCTCAGCCTGTCATCCCGCGCCTTTGGGAGGCTGAGGTGAGTGGTTTGCCTGAGCCTGCGGGTTCGAGACCCGCCTGGGCAGCGAGACCTCATCTCTACAATCAATCAAAAAAAATCAGCCGGGTGTGGTAGCACGCGCCTGTAGTTCCGGCTACTCGGAAGGCTGAGGCGGAAGGATCGCCGGAGCCCAGTGGGTCGAGGCTGTGGTGGCCGGGAGCGGCTACTGCACTCCAGTCTGGGCGACAGAGTGAGACTCCAACTCAAAAAAAAAGTGCTTGGATCACAGGCATGAGCCACCACACCTAATGAGCCACGCCACTGGGTGACTAGGCAGTAAATTTGGGGAAAGGTTTCTCTATAGAAATACCCTGGCTGATAATGAAGAGAGGATGCTACTGTCGTGAAAAAGAATATATACCTCTTGATAGAACACACACTCCTTCTGAAATTGTCTTGCCCCCCCCCAATTGGACACAAATCTGATCAAGCCTTTTCTAGATTCAACTGCTAACGAAGAGGCACTTAGAAGAGTGAGAATCATGAGAACTACATCCTGCTCAGGCAGTCAGCAGACCCCAACTGTCAGAAATCCATCCAATTCCTTCAACAAGGGAAAGCCTAGGAAAGCAAAGGCAGTAGGGGAACCTATGGATGAATAGAGTCCTAAAACACGTATCAACCACCTGCAGCATATGGGCCCTATTTGAATCCCAGTGCAAACACAGTGCAAAAGCACACACAGGCCCATGCGATGGTAGCAGTCTCATCATCATCCCTGAACCTTCACCTTCATAAACAGCTTCACCACCCTTGGAAGCAGGCCACCTGTGTCCTGCTGGGACACTGACGGGTGTAGTCCTTTGACCTGTTTTCGCTTGTAGAAGAGGTTATCTGGGGTTTTTTCCCACCTGTGAGAATGGGAGGCCTGCTCTGTGTTGTGGTCCAGCAGTTGCTTTTTAAGAAAACCTGCTTAAAATAAGAGAAGAAAGAAAACGCACACAAAAGAAAACCTGCTGCACACGACCTGGGTGTGGTGGCTCATGCCTGTAATCCTAGCGCTTTGGGAGAACAAGGTGGAAGCAGTTCTTGAGCCCAGGAGTTCAAGACCGGCCTGGGCAATGTAGTGAGACCTCGTTTCTACAAAAAGTCAAAAACTTAGCCAGGCGTGGTGGTACACACCTGTAGTCCCAGCTACTCAGGAGGCTGAGGCAGAGGGGTCGCCTGAGCCCAGGTAGTCGAGGCTGCAGTGAGCCAAGATCATGCCACTACACTCCAGCCTGGCAACAGAGTGAGACCTGACTTAAAAAAAAACCAAAAACCAAAAAAACCTGCACGTATTATTTTCTGAGCCTGTGGCCTGACTGTATCTCTTAGTCTTACATAACAGTGCACATCCACAATTTGTCTTCATTTTGATTTATGTAAATATAATCAAATGACATAGAAATTAATTTGTGTTAAATGACAAAAGATACCTTAGACAGTGGAAAGTTCTTTGTCATGCATATAACAGGTAAAGGGTTAATAACTCTAAAGAGCTGCTGAACTTAATTATAAAAAGACAAACAACCGAAGAAAACTGGATGAAAGAAACTTCTTTTTTTTTTTTTGAGTCGGAGTCT